GCTTTCGAATCTGGTGCCACCTCTTCAAGTTCGAGTCTGGTTTAATGCTACTCAACTGTATTAGTAAAATAGTGATATTAAATAAATATAGATATGAAGTTGAAGATTAAGGGTACGATTACTGGAATGATATTCTGGTCTTCCTTATTAAAATAGAATATTAATGTTATTAGTTATACAAATATGTATGAAAACGGTGGTACAACTTTTCCTCCGTATTTGAGTACATGTGATTTTGGCGTAATTAATTTTAAAACATTCACGAACTGTCTTTTTAAACTTTTGATAGTGCCCTTTAGTCCATTTTCATTATGATAGCTAAGAAAATGGATAAAAAATATGATGTGCCATAATCCACATGCTGGTGCCAAAATAAATAGATGGCGCGTACACATCCACTTTTAACATATTGGATTATTTTATGTATATGTATCTTAAGTATTAAATATAATAAATATAACTTATATGACAAGAAAATTTAATTTAATGATTGGATTTTGAAACGTAAGCTTCTAAGAAAAAGTTAGTAAGTAATTTTAAAAAGATCGAGTTACACCTATTTATAAACTTTAAAAAATATATATAGAAAAATTAAGTATTATGTTTAAAATAATATAGATTAAAATTAAAATCGTGGGTATGTAACAACCGCTTTTTAGTTATAAGAAATAAATCTATCATTTTTTTTCTCGCAAAACACTCCAAGCACAAATCCTATAAATCAAAACACTTATAAGGAAGTCATATGATAACCATTTAAATCTTGAACCCTATTGTATTAAAAGTTTGTAAAACTATCTTCTCTTACCTCTTCATATTTTTTTCTTTTAAACCTAATCTTAAAATCTAAACCTAATCTTAAAATCTTCAAATCTCAGAGGAGTATAATTCTCTTAATAAATGACCCTCATCAACAAATTAAGCATATTAATATAACCCTAAACCTGTAAAGATTTATTTTTATTCATAAAAAGTTACATGCAAACAAGGTAAAGAGATTAAACATGATTACGATGGAATGAAGACATATGCAAAATGCACAAACGAGTTCGGATCTGAAAAATAAACTACATTATTAAAAAACTGGAAAGAAGATATAAAAAGATTGTAATTTTTATAAAAAGGAATAATTAATTTTTTATATTTATAAGTATTTTATTTAACTAATAAAATATTCATATTTTGTCATATTTAAACACTTATACTTTTTTGAACTAGTAAACTTTGATCATAAAATTATTTTAAAATTAAAATAATGTAATTTGAAGAATTAATCTCTCCGTATTTTTTTTTCGTTTCTCATTTACTTAAGCTATTAATTTATTATATATCCATTTAACAAAAGATTTCATTCTTTTGTAATTATTTTAAATTACCTTTATTTTGCATTATACATTATTTTGTAACTATTTCAATATACTTTCTTTTATTTCTATTTTAAATTTAAATTGAATCAGTCTTATAAAGTATGTGTGCATTGTTAAAATAACTTCTTCTTCTTTTTTATATCAATTTAATTTATTCATTAAAAATATATAGATTGTTTTGGTCTTAGAAAGACAGAGATACGTTAAAAACATATATAACTTCAAAATGTGTGATAACATGTTTGGATACGCATTCTTGGAGTTTTCACTCTCCAAAGTGGTTTTTCACTTTCCTATACACTAAACGTGAGAAATTGTTATTTTTTCATTCAACGAAGTTTAATGTGTTTACAAATGGTCCTTTCTCCTTTTCCTAGTTAATATATATAAACATTTTTTTAACTATATTTAGTATAAATAATTGAATAAAATAATTTGAATAACTTAGTTATCATTAACACTCTTAATCAAATATACATTTGTTTGATATACTCGTTTTTTATAATCAAATACGCAATTTTAATAATTGCTTATATTCAAAGAGGTTGGATTACTTATATTTAAAAATAGTTGATGAGAATAATTATTATGATTATTATACTGGATTCTATCATTTACGCAGTTATATAAAACGAATAATTATTTTCATAGATAACAAACGACTTGATTTGATCATGATATAATATATTTTTAAAATAAAAATTGAACAAAATCACATATAATTAAAAACTAAGATATCGAATTTGCGTAAAAATAACTAATATCAAAATTATAGATAATTAAAAATTAAGAGACCGAAAATGTAAAAAAAAAAAAAAAAACTCTTAGAGACTAAAATTAAAAAGTTTATAAAGCATAGGAAGAAAAGCTACATAACTTTTTTTATACTAAACTGTCAATAAAATATATTTTTTAATCCCTCGATAGTATCTATTTTCTTGAAGTGTTCATTGAAATTTTTTATTCTTATAATAAATTTGTTTAGAAGTAAATTATTAGATCTTTAATATCTTTAACTAAATCTTCAATTTCAGAGTTTACAATTATTTGGAGAATAAAGAAATTAAAGTAAGGAAAATTAATTTAATCGAGATTTATTAGGATAAATTTAATTATGTTTTAAATTGTGACTTTATTTGTTAGTTTGATTGAGCATTTATGACGTGGAAAATCATGTGCACCATTTTGAATTATTTGATTGTATTTTAAAAATTTTATAATTACCAAGTTATGAATATTAGGTTTGGATCACAATTTTTTTAATGATTATTCACATTAACATTGGTTTTGGTTTTAGTTGATATGATGAAAAAATGTTTAGAATTTGAAATGGAAAATAGGTTTGAATTGGTGCAAAATTTGTAGTGAAGTAAATTGAACCCAAAAGTAACTTTTTTGTAAAACATATAAAGTTAATATGAATTTACGATCATAATTGAATTAACTTAGTTTCTTAATCTAACTTGTCAAATTCGTTTAAATAATATTTGACCGGAAGTAAATAATATAAAATGCACCGACAAATTTAGACAAGAAAAAATTTATGATAAATAAAAATATTTATAATTTATCAAGAAAAGAAATCTACCATAAAACATTTTTCTTAGTGAATTATATAATAAATGAAAACTATAAATCTCAGAGTAAAAAAATAAATATAAGATGAATTAGTTCGAAGGATATAAAATTTTAAAATGAGTAACTAGTGACTTTACTTTCTGAGAGTGATAAACATTGTTTAGATTAAGTGGAGAAATTAGGATTTTTTTTTCTAAAACTAAATAAGTATTTAAATAATGTAGGGTCCATTTTATTATTTTATTCTCTTTAATTTAAAATCACACGATAGTTTTCGTGTAACAATTTTGTCTTGTAATTAAGTTTCACGTCATATTTTATCATAAAACTACAACGTTTAAAAATAAATTTGATACTAAATCGTATGTTTTAAGAAATAATTTGATGTTAAATTAAAAAAACCTAGGATCAGGTTATCATTAAGAACATAATTATCGTACTTTTTATACATTTATATGATAAATTATAATTGCTTTATTTTATAGATTAAATCATCAAGGTTAATTTAGATGAAGTTTTTCATGGACATAAAAATGTCAACTTGAATTAGCTTATATCTTATTTAACAAGTAAAAATTAGAAAAAATTACATCATTTAAAATAAATAAATATATAATCTAATTATAGTATATAAAAAACAATTTATCTCAAATTTAGAAATAAAAAAATTACTATTTTTTAAAATAAGAGAAAAAAATCATTAATTTTTTTACTATAAATAATATTAATGTTAGTTTCTTTATAAAAGAATATAATATTATTTTTAATAAAAAGTTTAAAAATATTACTTTTAGATTTATTTTATTTATTTATTAAATTTTATTATTTTTATTTGATATGTAATTTTTTCTCATGTTAATTATTTTATATATTCATAATTATTATATTATCTTTTAATTTATTTTTTAAGAATAAAATTATTAAGTGTTTGGGTTTCATATATTTATTAGGATAACATTGTTAATATTAATATTTGTCTATTTTAAAATTTTAATTTATTGTGATTTTATATTTATATAAAAAAATCTTGACGAGGTAAGAAATTAGTATACGAGATTGAAATATTTTTATTTTTAAATTTTAACATTAATAATAGTAAAATGATGAAATTAAGAAAAAAATGAAACAGGGAAAAAGAAAGATGAGAAAAATAGAATAAGTTTAGAAGAGCTGTCGATCCTTCCTGGCTTCCATTACATCCGTAAAGTGGCAAGAAAAAGAAAGGAGACGACGAGACATTTTGGTGTTCTGACGTCCCGTGCTGGGCAGCAAACACCCTCCTCCGTCTTTTGCGGGGAGAGATAGATAGATAGATACCATTCATCAATTCAACACCTGCATACAGACAAAATAACAAACTAGCTATTATTACTATTTTCTACTTATTACTACTCTTCTCTACCCCTCTACCTAATCTAAAATCCTTTTTTTATATATATATATATATATATATATCATGCATATTTATGTTAAAACTATGTGATTTGGTTTTAACTGAGACTGTTTGGTGTTGGAAAAATGTATGTTTGAAACTAATTTTTAATGATGGCATGATGAATTAGTACATTTGCCTTGGGTAGAGTTTTTGACTTTCTATATATTTATTTACTATTGCATTTGACATATGAACAAAATAACCCATGATGAAAAGAAAAGGTCAATACAGTGTTTCTCTTCTTTTGGGGTCTATTTAACCCCATTGTAGTCCCATCCATTCTCTTCCCCCCTTCCTTTCCCTTCTCTCTCAATCCTTCTTTCCCTTCTTTTTATTTACCAAAAACACACTTCCCTTTTCACACCCAACTCTCTCTCTCCCTTCTCAACTCCAACCCAACCCACTTCATTAATCACTCCAATTAGACCAGTTGTCCCACTTTGCCACATTGCTATGCTACTTCTCCTCCTCCTTTAAATCCTCTCCTTGTTTCCTAATGTAATTCCCAAAATCACAATCATTTTGCTTCAGGTTCCAGGGACATAATAAAGCTTAAGTTAATCAACACCTCCAAATTCAGTTCCTTTCTGTTGTTTCCTCTGCCTGTCCTTGATCTACAAATGGAAAACCAGTACTTTCTGAATGCTGGGGTGTCACAGACACAGCACCCTCTTCACTTTGAACCTTCACCACCACCTTCTTCAGTGCCCTCTTGGCAATCACTCTCACCCACCATGGGAATTCAACCAACAGTTCTGAATTGTGCCTCTGAGCAAACCCAGGATTGCTTTTACAACCCCAATTGGGACAACTCAACAGATCATGGACTTCCTCACTTTGATTCCTCGGCACTGAGTTCAATGGTCTCATCCCCTGCAGGATCATCCAACCCCAGCAACAACAACAACAACATGTGCAATGAGAATTTCATCATCAGGGAATTGGTGGGGAAATTGGGAGCTACTGGGAGCTCTGATGAGATCCCACAACACTCTCCTCACCCGTTGGTTGTGGCATCTTCTTACATGAATAATGGGAGTAGCAGCCCCAACACCTCATGTTACACCACCCCTTTGAGTTCCCCTCCGAAGGTGAACTCTGTCCACAGTTTGGTGAATGAGAGGTTGGCAAATTTGGGAGGAAAGTCAATGGCTTTGAATTCCAGTGTGGCTGAATTCTCGGCTGACCCTGGCTTTGCTGAGAGGGCTGCAAAGTTTTCTTGCTTTGGCAGCAGGAGTTTTAATGATAGGAGTGTCCAATTGGGGGTGAACAACGGTGAATTGGCTCAGAGATCTACACCAGTAGTGGAAAATGGCGGAAAGTTATCTAGAATCTCAAGTAGTCCATTGCTCAAAACACTTGGATCTCAAATGGGTTCCCAAGAGAACAAGAATTCTGCAACTCAGGAGCAAGAGAAAATGGAAGTGGCCAATTCTCAAGAGGAATCTACAATATCCGAGCAAACACCAACTGGAGAAATTGGGATGAAAATTTGCCAAGATATGACGAGTTCCAGGAAAAGAAAAGCATCTTCCAAAGGAAAAACCAAAGAAAACTCTATTAATCCCACCATGGTAATAAAAAAAAAAAACTTTTTTTGATGTCAAACTTCTATTTCGTTATCGTTTTTTTTATTAGGCATTAAGTTTTAAATTATGGTCATGGTTCCGGTTTTGTCTCAATTCTCGAGTGCGAGAAATTGTGGCTTATGTAGTCAAGTTCCATTTTCTAAAAACCTTGATTATGCAAAGGAATTTTGAAACCTGAATAGTGTACTTTTCAACTCAGGGAGTTGATGTAAGTGAGAATTCAAATTCAAAGCGTACCAAGCCAAATGAAGGTGAAGGAAATGAAAATGAGCCAATGAAGGCTGAGGAAGAGTCCAAAGCAGTGGAAGAGAAACAAAACAAAAGCAACTCAAAACCTCCTGAGCCACCAAAAGATTACATTCATGTAAGAGCAAGAAGAGGCCAAGCCACTGACAGCCATAGTCTTGCAGAACGTGTAAGAATTAGTGCTTTTGGTTCCTATTAATGGCACTTGCAACAAAACATGTGTAGCTTTCATGTTGACATTTAATTAAACTTGAAATAGGTACGGAGGGAGAAAATCAGTGAGAGGATGAAGCTGCTCCAAGATCTTGTACCAGGTTGCAATAAGGTGCGAAAATAAGTTAAAATCCAAAGAAGATTAGCTTGTGTGGTGTTGGTAAATGTAAATTCAGTACTTTTACTAACTTTGGTATATCAATTGTTTATTCATTCTTTATAGGTCACTGGCAAAGCACTTATGCTAGATGAAATTATAAACTATGTTCAGTCATTGCAGCGTCAAGTAGAGGTAACCAATCTTAGCAAATAAGCATCTCAATTTTCAAATGATTGTCATCATGTGTTTGTTTGTATCCTTGCTCACTAAGTTATGTTTTTTTTTCTCTCTCCCTCTCTCTGAGGTCAGTTCCTGTCTATGAAGTTGGCTTCTGTTAACACAAGGATGGATCTAAGTATTGAGAGTCTTGTTTCAAAAGATGTAAGTTCCCTGGCATTAGACAATACATGGTTCACTTTTTCTCCACAAATTTGTTGCTTTTTAGATTTTTTAAGAAGATTTCTGAAATGGGGTTCATTGGCTTTTGATGATTTCAGGTATATCAGTCTAATAATTCTTTGGCACCAAACCCAAATCCAATATTCCCATTAGATTCCTCAGCACAAGCCTTTTATGGGCACCAGCCTCAGCAGAACCCAGTTATCCATAATAACATACCTAACAGAACGGTGACCCACTGCTCAGTGGACCCGTTAGATACTTCCTTGTGCCAAAATCTTGCCATGCAATTACCCCCCCTAAATGGGTTTAATGAAGGTGGCTCTCAGGTAATAATAAGATGCTTCTACTTTTCTCCACAAGTTAATAATGAAAGAAAAATGGCCATTACATTACCACATTGTTTTTATTTTTCATATGTAATTTAGTAACTTCTGATTGGTTTTGTTTCACAGTATTAATATACAGAAACTAAAGTATATCTTTTTTTACTCTAATTTTTGTGGCCAATGGTTTTTCAGTTTCCATTAACATTCTGTGAGGATGATCTGCACACCATTGTGCAGATGGGATTTGGCCAAACTGCAAACTGGAAAACACCAATACAATCCCCAAGTTTCAACGGTAAAAAGCAGAAAAGTCACACATTATTGACATGTTAATGAAATATCATTTTCATTAGGCCCAACATAATTGACATTATTCTGCTTCTTAATATACACTTTTTTGTACAACACAGGTTCAAATAATGTACCCCAGATGAAAGTTGAGCTCTGATCACTGAAGACTCACCTTTCATTACGCCTCAATTGAAGCCCAGAAGATTAGGAAAACTGCTGTATACAACACCAACAACAACAGCAACCAAAGATTTAATTCCAACAACCCCATGAATTATTATTATTAAGCCATTATCACTAGATCTGTTCAATAGAACCCTTTTTTGTCTTTTCTTTTCTCAAATTTTTACCCCCTTCCATGATTTCAGTTTCTCATCTTCTGGGGCAGGCCTTTTTCAATTTTTCCCCCTCACAATTATTCACTGTAAAATCTTAGGACGATTCTGTATTCTCTGGTGCAAATTCTTATTATTATTGTGGCACCAACTGTAAGATATATTGCTAATTAAACAAAGATTTTCTACCAGCTTTCATTGTCTCTCTTAATATTATACTGATGAAGAATTTATCAAGATAACAGATATTTCTCCTTCTTCTTTTCTGATATAAGAATTATTTGTTTATCCTGTAACTTTGGTTAGCGTATGCCCGTTGATAATTGGCACATCACATCAAGCCACTATGAATTTTCGTGGGTCTTCACTAAAATCTCGTTAAAGGTCATGTCAATTAACCTATGCTAAATCTCAAAATCTGGTGGATATGATTTCACTTGTGCTGTAACCAGCTGTATTAATGGGGTCTCCCTTTTCTCCAAAAGTGTAATTAGAAATGATTACGACATTTGGTTAACTTGAGCCATGGTCAACCATAATTTCTGTCATTTCTGTGGTGTTTTTCTTTCTTTCTTTCATTCACCCTAAATAAAAATAGAAACTTTTTAAACATGTTATTTCACTTCTCAATCAAGTCAGTGAATTCTGCAGAAAATAAAAAACCTTCCATGCTTGTTCTTACCAATTTTGTGATATAATATTACTATGCAGAATAGAAAAATGTTTGAGGGTAGATAGATATATATATAGAGGTTGGAAGAAGTTAGAACCACCCCTTTTGAAGAAAACACATATTTTAAAGTAATTTATGTGAGCATAAAAAGAATCCCAGGTTGGCAATGGTGAGATTCTGACTAGGCCCAATGAATCATAGAGCTTTATAATCTCACCAACTTTTGCTATTTACTTATGAATAGGAAAAGGGGTTTCTAGTGGAGTTCAGGTTTGGAAAGATACACTTAAAATATTTGACTAATCTCTTTCTGTTAGGAAAAATCCAGTTTTTAGGGGTTAGCAAAAGATTTTGAGCAACTCTCTTTCTATAATAATCACCACTTTCATTATTGAATTTAGTACTTCTTCTAAATTATCCAAAATCCTAAACTTTCAAACTGACTTTAGTAAGTATCCACAAATTAAATTTATATATTGGGTTCATTTAATTTTAGTTACTAAAATTTAAATTAAAAATTTGAACAAATACCATTTAATTGTAAATTTGAAAAACTAAACAAATATTTTATTTAATTTTAGAGATTAATTTTTTTATTTGAAGATTAATATTTAGTATAACTAAACCTTTATATATATATATATATATATATATATATATATATATATATATATTCTAAAAGAAAAACTTATTCTTTTGATAAAGTTTGTTCCTTTAAGAAACTCAATTATCTATAACTCTTTTAGAAACATGTTGGTAAAATTGTATTTATATACAAAGTATAAGAAATTGTGCAATAAAAAAGAAACTTAAAAAAAATATGAAACAGAGTAATTGACATGATAAAAAAATATTTCAAAATTATTACATGAATAATATAAATTGAAGTGAGGAGCACTTTTTTTTTTTTTATTGAAGAGTGTATTATTGGAGGTGTAGATTAGTGTGATTTAATAAATAGAAAGATGCTTTGAATGTAGTACTCGGACAGAACAGTTGTGCATGATAATATATTAAGATATTATGATTGTATAATAATAATATATAATAATAATAATAATAATAATAATAATAATAATAATAATAAGACCAAGTTTCTTATTTCTGAAGAAGATAAAGAAATGGGAATAGAAAATGTTAGTCTGACAGGGTTGTCTCCAAAAGCTACAAACGCCCAATCATATTACGACGTGTTTGGGGATTGATTCTTTTGTGTGTTTTTTTATCATCTTCCTCGTTTGTCCATGCTGTTTTATTCTTCTTCAGAGAACTTGTTTTTTAAATTTATTCCAATCATAATGCTACTAACTAATCAACAAACATGATCTTCACAAGGAACATCCAGAGTGGAGTTGTTAGCAGGTACCAAAATTTAATCTAATCTGTTTCAATGTTTTTTAAGGTACCTTTTTGCAATTTAACTTTTTCCCTGTCAGGTTAGGTTTGGTAGTTTTCTCCATGTCTGTAAATTACTCTGTTTTTTAAATATATTAAAAAAATCCACTTAAAAAACATGATTCGATATTAAATATATTTTTTTTTCTAGGAGGAGTTTAAGTTATATAATTAATAAATATTGAAATTTCTAATTTGTGTAATTGCGTCCATCGTATCATCATGATCTTTTAATTTTAACATTTAGATATAATTTTAAAAATAATTTAATTTTTAATTAAGTTTATAAAAAAGAGAATTGACGCAAGGTTCCGTTGTAATCAAGTAAATTATAATTATTAATTATATATTTTTAATTATGGATCAAATATATAATATAAAATAAAGTTAATTTTTGATGAAGTTTATAAGAAAATAATTGATGGAAGGTTCCATTATAATCTAAGTAAATTACAATTATTAATTATATATTTTTAGTTATGGATCAAATATATATAATATAAAATAGAGTTAATATCGGTTTAATCTAAGGTAATTATATAAGAAAATATAATTTATTTTTAATTTAAAATTATAAAACAATAAATATATAGGTTTTATTTATTTATATGTTATTAAATTTTATTATTTTTACTCATATGGACTAATCTTATTTTAATTTTAATAATTAAAATACACGTGTTTTTTTATTATTAATTCTTAAATCTCTCTATACATTTTAAATAAAAAGTAATATGAATTATTGACTTGTAATACAGAGAATATAAAAGAATATAAAATAAATTCTTTTATATATAGAGAGAGATAGATAGATAAAATATTCTTATTTTACAATTGATTGAAATAAGATGGAAAAATCGGCTTATTTTATTTATCTTTATTTTACAATAACTTTTTAGAAATAAAAAGAGAAAGAAAAAAAAACCTAAATCTCAAAAGTGATAGTAGTTTTAAAGCTAAAACCCTAAAATAGCTTTACATTCGACTATTTAGTTAGAGAGGAGTCTTGTCTTTTATTAAATTTGTATTATTATTTATAAATTTTGAACTATTCAAACCTAGTTTCATTTGAATTTTGTGGATGAAATGAAGAGAATGTAAAATAAAATAAAATAAAATAAAATTTACCGTGTTTACTCCATAAATAAATGCTGGCAAAGTTTGACAAATGATGTTTGAAGTTGTGAAATTAATTACACCGACACCACACCTTTGCATAGTCCATAAAACAACCGTAAACGGTCCACGACCTTAATCCCTTCTTCAATGGCACCGTCACTTCTCAGAGTGAATTCCCACCTGAAAACAGGGTGAGTTGTAAATCATAAAACTTGTTTTCAACTGCAAATGTGGTTCATTTGGAACACAATTTGCTATCAAAATATTGAAACCACATATTACTTTTGTCAAAGACATATACCCCATTTATAAAATTGACTTCATCGTTGAAGTGTGGTGAAGATAGGGTTTGAGTTTAAATATTAAAATAAATTATTCCCATTAATTTGTGTGAAAGTTTATTTTTGTGTTTTGAGAATGTGTGGATAATATTTTTCAGGATGAAACAAAAATTAAATAAAAAAATATATAGTATCTCCAAAAATTAAAATTAACTCATAAACTAAAAATAAAAGCATAGGTGTAAGATATTCAAATTTTTTTTATAATTATTTTTAACATTTATCTCATGTAATGATGTAACTATAAAAAAATAAGTAGTAAAAACTTTTGGTAACATATAATTGTTCACATATTGAGTATTGAAGAGCAAATAGTCAAAATAATAAAAATTTGTGTTAAGATGCATGTAATAATAAGAAATAGCAACACTGGACTTAAAACGCTGAGCATATTTTAATCTGTTGAGCAAATCTGAGGCAGAGAGGACAAATTTCTAAGGCAACAAATATCGCTCAATGATTATGAATCTATTGATTGAATTCGCACTAGAAAGAAACCCTTCTCAAAAGGGTAAAAGCTTTCAGCGAACAGATATATGCTAAGCGGATAAAAGCCTTCAAGACGAATAAACCTCGTCTTGTTAAGTGAATTGAGAAGTCGTGAGCTGATGGATTAAAATATTGCGAGGTTCCTTAGGTATAAATAGAAGAACTGAAAAGAAAAGAAAAAATGAGGAGAGAAATAGAGCATACTTTCAAGGGCAAAAGATAAAAGAATGATGTTGGTTGAATTTGAGCTCTCCTTCTTATACATTTCTTATTTTTCTTATCATGTGTTATTAATTTCTCTTTTATTTAAATTGAATATAAATGTTTAACTCTTTTGTAACTCTATTATATATATATATATATATATATATATATATATATATATATATATATATTTCCAATAATGATTTGGTTCTATTTTAATATTTGGATGATTATAGGAATAAATTTATATTGAAAAGTAATTTTTGTTTCTAATCTGATCCAAATCAGTCTATAACCTTGACTGTTAAGAACAAAAGTTAAGATTACTTGTACATGAAAGTTGTGTCTAATATAAAAATTTTAACTAGTTTATTAAAAAATTAATTGGTTGTTTTGGATTCTTATAACTCCATTTTTAAGGAATTAATATGAACCGAGTACTTTAGACTTTCATGTATATATAGGTTGCAGATTCGTTATCAGATAATCTAATTCAACAGGTTATCTCATTACATTTTATGTGTTAGTCAATTATATTTTAACTATTTCAATCATATATTTATTCTCTAAAATTATTGTTTAATTTAATGAATACTGAAAT